GCCTGGTTTTCTACTGGGGAGGTTAAAAAAGAGTCTACCTTCCAGACATAGAACACAGTGAGTGGGATACACGGAACAGAAAAGTGACTTGGAGCCTTGCTCTAGCCGTGGTGATCTGGGAAGCAGTTCTGAGTCGAGCTCTAGCCTCAGGGACTGGGGGTAGGAGAAGATGCTTGGGGTGGAGGGACCAGAGGGAAGCAGGACTGTAAGGGCTGTGATCAATTAAAGGAAGATGCCGGCCATTTCCCTTTGTTGGTCTAGGGCACTACCTAGTAATGGTCAGGAGAATTATTAAAATTAATGACAATAATATCATTACCATCAGATACCATTGATGGATCACTGACGGTGAGTCTTTCACTGGGCAAAGCCCTTTGAGGGCAAGAACTCTCTGTCCTTATAGCGCCCATGTGATATGGACGTTATTGTTCTTGGTGCAGTAGAAATAACAAGCTTCCCACTGTTAAGTAATAGGTCCTGACAGCACAACTAAATCAAGAACGCCATAATTGAACCACTGTGCTGAAGATCATCAGGAGGAGAGTTCCGATATTTGTTTTGCGGTTAACTTCTTCTGACATTGGCCAGGTTTCTCATCGCCCATGGACTCATTTTTGCAATGCCTGGTGCTCAATAAAAAGGAATCAATTTGAATCGGTAGAATGGGGCCAGTTCTCATTGCTCTATTTGTCTCTCTGGATTGTCTTGAGGCTAAATGGGGAAATTTGAAAATAGTTGGAAGGCAGTGGGCATAAAACAGATGTGAGCCGTGATACCCGGGTGAGTCTGCAATGGGTAAATGGTTCTAGTCCCATAAACGCCCTGTGGTCAACCTGGTCTCCTTGATGACAAAAAGATATTTTGAGTAACCTGGTCTTTTCACTCCCACAGACTCTTAAGAAGCATATTGTCCACTTCTCTGATTATTAGACTGTTTACTTTAATCCAAACTTTCGTTCAACACGGATTCGTGGAAATGTGGAATGGGGTTGACTGGATGCTCCAACTCAGAACATCCGGCCAGCTTTGTAAGGTCAGTTACTCTTTTAAACCTCCTTTACATGAACATGAGGAAAACCCACAGCCTCACTGTTTGACGTGAGATCTGAAGATGGCTCAGAATATCCTGTCACAGAAATCTAGGCCAGAGATGGGCTTTAAAACTGTACTCCAAGGAACATGACAAAATGATATAACCAGATGTGGCATTTCAATTCCGCAATCATGAACCATTCAGGTGGCCACTTCTGCTTCCTGAGAGCTGATAGCCATTCAGCTGTACGAGAAGGCACTTCACCGTGGTGACGTACAGTAGCGGGCTGATTCCTTTGCCCTGGTTTTTTCTTGCTACTGTGTCATTTCGTATCATTAACAATTAACGTTACTTGGAAAGACATTCCGATTCTCATTTTTACTTCAAGGTGGGTAATTCTGTATGAATTCCGTAGATGATTTTCTTTTTCTTTGGCAACGGATAAGCTTAGCCTCAGTTTGTTTGAAATTGCTGACAGCTGCGTATAAACATTTAGGAACCAATCCTGGTCATCCCTGATTGATAATATACATTGATCTTGGCCATTTTTAAAGCCTGTTTTTCTCTCTTTGCATCTTCTATCTGCCATTCAAGCAGAACCTTCTTACTATTCAAGCATCATAGACTCATGGCAGTCTTTCTGTAACTCCAAATGGATTTTGATGGCAAATTAAAAACCTCCTGTGACTGTCAAATGAGCAGAAGACCCCAGGTGACATGGGGTGCAAGTTATCTATTCCCAGAGTAAGAAAATGTCCCTGTGTACAAACCCATTCKCCTTACGTACCTTCACCCCTCTAACTTCTGTAGCACACTGTCCATAGGATTTGGGGCCCTCTGACACCCAGGAGTTTTGGGTCCTGGATTTGGGTCCAAACACTGCCACCTTCCTATTTAAGTGATGTGACCTATGAGAGCTGATAATTTTTCCAAGCTTCCTTTTCCTCATCTACAAATGCAGAAAATAATACAAACTCAGGTTTTATTAAATCAGCTCAACACATAGTAGAAGCCCAAGCATTATCAGCTGATATTGCTAATATCAATTATTATTATCATCCCTGCTATCATTAGTCTTATTTGTGTGTGATGTATAGTTTCTTGTTCTAGTAGCTATAAATCAAAATGGGAATTGGTTAATTTTTGGAAGGATACCTAACTTCTTTCTTTTTCTTTAATTTTTTAAATATGAATGGATCATAATATTCTCTTTTTAAATTTATTTTATTTGTTGCCTTTAGATATACATGACAGTGGAGTGTATTTGGACATATTATACAYACATGGAGTATAGCTCATTTTAATAAGGATCCCCCCTTTGTGGCTGTACATGATGTGGAGTTTCACTGTGGTGTATTCACATATGAACATAAGAAAGTTATGTCTGATTAATTCTCCTGTCTTTCCTATTCCCATCCCCCCTCCCTTCCCTTCATTCCCCTTTGTCTAATTCAATGAACTTCTATTCTTCCCTTATTATATGTTAGCATCTGCATATCATCCACATATTTGGCCTTTGGATACCTAATTTCTTAAAACATTTTGAATTAGTTTATCTTAGTCTACTATAGCAACTTTGTTGCTTCAGACTAAAAATTGGACTTGGAGAATCCCAAATTACAGAATTTTTTTTTTTAAAGGGTGTGTGTACTGGGGATCGAACTCAGGGGCCCTTGACCGCTGAGCCAGTTCTCTAGCCCTGTTTTGTATTTTATTTAGAGACAGGGTCTCGCTGAGTTGCTCAGTGGGTTCACTGATTTGTTCAGGCTGGCTTTCAACTCACAATCCTCCTGCCTCAGTCTCCCGAGCTGCTGGGATTGCAGGCATGCACCACCGTGCCCAGCCTAGAATATTTTAAAGAAGTATATGTGTTGTCAAAAAGGAACAACAACAAGAAAAATATATGGTCATCAGAACAAAGCTGCTCAAGTTAGGAACAGTAGCCATCTTTCAGAATAAATGGAATTGGGTTAAAATACAAGCATTGTTAACATCTGAACAAAGGCTTCTTTAGTAGAAAGTTTTAAGCACGAGACACCCTTCAGCTATCCCCTCACACTGTGGATTTGCTGCTTGTCATGAAAGGTATAAATATGCATTGTTAGTTCCCCAATCACAGCCTGTCATGGTGGGATTGGGACTGACAGGGTACATCCCTACAGATGTACACGCAGCCTGCCTTGTGACTTGTTGGACTCGGGCTTAAATTAACTTTTATCTGCTAAGTAATGAGCACATCAGTTTTTTAATATCACAGAAGTTTCATCTTGGAGCCTTTCCTTTTTTTATTATTAGAATCATCCCCACCTCGGTCCCTCCCCTCCCTTGCATGTAATAAAACAAAAGCTACCTGGTGTATTACACAACTCAGGATTTCATTAGATCCCGCCGGGTGGGAAAGACTATTTACACAGAGACAGAAGAGCATGCTTTTACAAGATGATTTCATAGAAGCGGAATGGGGTTTTATAGAATAAAAATAGATCTTTTCCCATTTATGGGCCAACTAGCTGGGCCAGCTTCCTCTTTCTAGAAGTCAGAGCATTTCCCTGGACTTGAGAATTCTCTGAGAATGTTTCCATGTCCCCAGGAAATGAGTGGATGCCTGCTGGGGTCATGGTTTATGCATGGCCATCTCTTTTTTYCTATGTACCAACCTACCTACCTGCATCATGGGAGATGCTTTTCTTTAAAATGGGAGTAGATGATCATCATAATTTGGATAGTCAATGTTCCCCAAAGGCTAGTATGTTCCAAGTATGGTCTCCAGGGTGGTGCTGTGTGTGTGTGGGGGGGTGTGAAACCTAGGGGAGGTGGGGTCTTGGGGGAGTCATTAGGTCAAGGGATTGTTGGCCTCTGAACTGATCCTCTGTAGCTCTCTTTTCCTTCCTGGCCTTGACATGAGCAATTTTCTGTCACATACTTTCACTATTTGGTGTCCCCACCTGGGGCTGGAATCTCTAAAACTGTGATTCAAAATAAAACTTTTTCTCTTTATATGGTAATTACCTCAAGTGTTTTGTTACAAGTCAGTTTTTGAAAGCTAAATGTGATTAAAAAAAGATAGCAATATATCTTCAGAGTCAGGGCATTCTCAGGAAGACAGATTTTATGCAAATATATATGTAAAGATTGGGAAATGTGAACCTTTTTTTTTTTTTTTGGCACCAAGGATTGAACTCAGTGGCACTTAACTGCTAAACCACATCTACAGCCCTTTTTTTATATTTTATTTAGAGACAGGGTCTTATTGAGTTGCTTAGGGCCTCCATAAATTGCTGAGGCCGGTTTTGCACTCTCAATCCTCCTGCCTCCCAAGCTGCTGAGATTACAGGCCTGGGCCACTGTACCCTATGGGGAAATTCGAAATTTATTTCCTTAAAATTACCCATGCCCATGTGCCCATCAGAATTTGTAAATCCTTCTAGGTATATGCTACCCCACCTGTAGGAGTCCTTGGCCCATTCTACAAAGCAAAGGAAAGTGGTGGTGGATAGGGTGACTGCCAAGAGAGAGAGAGAGAGAGAGAGAGAGAGAGAGAGAGAGAACCAACTTCATCTTAAAGTGAATCACACTCTGCCCAGACTGTCATGCGCTGAGGGAAGAACACATTTCGGATATGCACAGGTCATACTGTCTGCATAACCAGTGATCAAAAGGACTGAGTCCAGAGTGCTGAGATCATAAGTGAGTCCAAGGCCAGCCTCACCACTCCTTCCTCCCTCTCACTTATTTCGGAAGGGGTTCCCAGCAGGTCTTGGGCCACATTTCCAAAGGCAGGGGGTGGGGGCTCAGGAGAGGGACAGGCATCACACACTTGTCCCCATCCAGGAGGTCTGGATGAAAAAAGAAAAACGATTTCCTTTCACATCCCTGCCCCCAGGGCTTAGGTCCCTGGGACACTTTTGCAGCCTTTGCCGAAGCAGCGCGACAGGACCAAGTTCTGTGAAAAGAGAAAACCACTCACGATCAACGGGCCCCGGTTGTTTTCTCGGTACTTGTTCTGGAAGAAAATGTAAACCACGGTGGCGGCCAGAGAGTAGAGGAAGGCGAAGACGGCGACCGTGACGAAGAACTCGGCCGAGGACGAGGAGTCTCCGATCAGAGCCAGCTTCTGCCGCTCCTTGCCCTCGCAGGTGGGCACCTCGAAGGTCACCTGGTGCAACCTACAAGGCGGGACAGAGGAAGAGGCTCTTTAAGGGCTCCCAGGTCTGGTGTCCTGGACCCTGGCTATGTCCCCCAGCTCCTTCCTCTTCTGCTTTGAACTGTCACCTGGTTGCAACCTCCATGCCATCCCCCCCACACCCACCTTTTGGGGGCTTCTCAGTTATGCCAAGCATGGTCCTGAGTGTCTGGTCATGGACAGCTCTCTCTCCCTAAATTGCTCCGCCCCTGATCTTTCCCAGGGCTGTCTCCTTGGTATTCAGGCATCATCAGCTTGAACACCCTCCTGGGGGAGGATTTGGCTGAGCATTGATCAAAAGTAGTTCCTGTGGCTGGTTGAGGGAGCTCGTTCCTGTCATCCCAGCCACTGGGGAGGCTGGGGCAGGAGGATTGCAAATTTGGTGAGGCCCTAAGCAATGTAGCGAGTTTTCATCTCAAAATAAAACACAAAAAGAGCTGGGGGGACTGGGGTGGTGGCTCAGTGGTAGCATGCTTCCTTGCATGTGTGGGGCACTGGGTTCCATCCTCAGCACCACATAAATAAATAAAATAATAAAATAGAGGTATTGTGTCCATCTACAACTAAAAAATTTAAAAAATAAAAGAGCTGGGGATGTGGCTCAGTGGTTAAGTGCCCCTGGGTTCAATCCCCAGGACCTAATAATAATAATAATAATAGCTCTTTTGCTTTAGACATCTTCCACCACATCACACTGTTTAATCTTATTTGTAGCAGTCATTACCAGGCAATGATTGGTCATGAATGCGTCACTTATCTCCACGATAGTGGGGCATCTTGGTTTTCTTCTTGGTAGCCCCCAAATCCAACCTCTGTTAAGCACTCAGTATTTGGAGAAGTAAATGAGCATTCTTTTTTTTTWAATTTTTTTTAGTTGCTAATGGACCTTTATTTTATTTGTTTATAGATGGTGCTGAGGATGAACCCAGTGCCTCACACAAGAGAGGCAAGTGCTCTGCCACTGAGCCCCCAGCCCAGCCCCCAATGTGAATGAGCATTCTCCAGTCTGTCTCTAAGGATGACTGATAGTCTGATAGTCCTAATTAGATTGGGTTTTTAAAACTTCTGCTTTAAAAAGAAAGTTCTATCAGGATTGCACCCTGCCTTAATAGATTGCTTGGTAGAGAAAAATAAGATGCTGGGGTGATTCTTTCTGCTTAGCCAATGTCACCTAAGGAAGGTGACATCCAATATTTCATGGTGTGAACTAGAACAAAGTGGTCAACTGGAACTCAGTCTAGAAACCGGTTTTCCAGAAAGGACCAGGAGGAAGACACATGGACAAAAAACATGAAGGAGGCTTATTTATATCAATAAAGCATCACTTGGAAAATTATGCACCTGAAAATTCACAACTTATCCTTAGAATTTTTTTTTTTACTAAGCAAATTTTGATCTTTTTCAAATAGATTGTTGTACACATTTTCTTCCAATTTAGATAGTAATGGTCATGATTAAGTAATAATGATAATGACAACTAACATATTGGAACATTTCTTATGCAGCAAACACTTGGGCTTTGAATACATGACTGAATTTAATGCCCAGGATGAACCAGATAATGTAGTAACGTAACGGCACTTTCCCTTTGCAGATGAGGAAACCGAGGCGTACAAGAGTCAGGTAACTCTTCCTAAGGTATGTAGCTCATGATTATTGAGCCAGGGATTTAAATCTGCTTCTGAGTTCAGAGTCGGACCTTTTAACATCTATGTTAACCTGTTTATATTAAGTAATGAAGACATTAACTAGCAGGAATTTTTTTTTCCAAAGTGAAGCCTGTGGACTAATGGCCTTAGAAACTCTAGGCATTCTAGCATACACTCAAGGGCCCCGTTCCAGACATACTGAAACCTCTAGGAGAGAGGCTAGTTGGCAGCTAGAGCAGACAAAAATCTACTTCACTTAATTTTTTTTCTTTTTCTCTTTCTTTTCTTTCTTTCTTTTTCTTTTTGGTACCAGGGCTTGAAACTACAGGTGCTTAACCTCTGAGCTACATCCTCAGTGCTTTTTATTTATTTATTTATTTTGAGACAAGGTCTCACAAAGTTGGTTGGGTCCTTGACTAGCCTCAAACTTGTGATCCTCCTGCCTCAGCCTCCTGAGTCACTGAAATTATACGCATGGACCACTATGTCTGGCTTGTTCTTCCTTCCTTCCTTCCTTCCTTCCTTCCTTCCTTCCTTCCTTCCTTCCTTCCTTCTTCCCTTCCTTCCTTCCTTCTGGTATTTTACCACTGAGCCACATCCCCAGCCCTTTTCATTTTATTGATTGATTGATTGATTGATAGGGTCTCACTGAGTTGCTTATTTCCTTGTTAAGTTGCAGAGGCTGGCTTTGAACTCACCATCCTCCTGCCTGAGCCTCCTGAGCTGTTGGGATTAAAGGTGTGTACCACCATGCCCAGCCAATTTCTTAAAAGCATTCATTTTTTGTTTGTTTGTTTTCTGCTTGACTAAAAAAAAAAAAAAAAAAGACTATCTATAAAGTCCTTTTGATTTTCCTTGTGGCCATGGAGCTTGTCCACAGTCCTTTCCTTAACAAACACTGAGGTGTTCAGCTGCAGTAAAATTCAGGAGGTGTTATTTGGCAGAGCCCCTTTTCTTCCTTGCAGGGTATACAGAAATATTCCTCAACAATTTGACCTGTAGGAATATTTTAAAATGAGGGAGATTGAAGAGGTAGGTACTCATGTCCATTCTTAAACAGGTGATTTGGAGTTCACACCTTTTCCCTGTGTTTAATGTCATTCACTTAACACATTTTTTGACAGTCAGCAACTCTATGCTTTACACAATAGCTGATGCTGGGGTGGGGTGAGGAATAAGGAGATGAAATGATCTCTGTTTAGCTTGAATGAAGCTATTTACTTTACAGAGAGATGATAGGTTTTCTGAGAGGAGCCCTTGCCCAGTCTGGGGGTGGGAGGGTCCAGGTAAACCTCCCTTGTGAGAGCCATCCTTACTCTGTAGCTTGAACATGAGTAGAAATTACCCGGATCTAAAGTTAAGAAAGGAAGCACAATAAGATCCCATTTTGCATCCCCTAGGTTGACAACACCAGACCAGATTACAGGGTGGCAGTAACAGGCGTTGGCGGGGATGTGGGGAAATTGCAGGGATCATTTGTGGTCCATGGGAACGTCAAATGGAGTGACCACTTTGGAAGACAGACCCTGGCAGTTCTTCAAATAGTCATACACAGAGTCATCACAGGATTGGATTCCACCCCTGAGATGCATATGGGAGAGACATACTATTTGGTTACATAAAACTTGTGCCAGAATGTCTGCACGACATTATTCATAACAGCCCCAAAGTGGAAATAAGTCGAATGTCCATCAGCTGATAAAGGGTGCAGTGTATCCAGAGTTTGGGATGTCATTTGTCAATAAAAAAGGAACAAGCACTAATACATGCCACAACAAGGAAGAACCCTGAAAGTGCTACAGTGAGAAAGAGAAAAAAAACAGACACAAGAGGCTATGTGTCCTATGTTTCTATTTATGTGAAATATTCAGAATAGGCAAATCTATGGAGCCAAAAAAGGCAGGTTAGTGTTGGTTAGGGCTGGGGGTTGGGAGAATTGGAGATGATGGCTAAGCGGTATAACCATCTGGGGGATACTGACGGTGTTCTAGAATTCATTGTGGGAAAGGACGCACATCTCTGCCGAAAAGCTATTTAATTGTACATTTGAAATGATGAATCATGTGACATGTGAGTTATATCTCATTAAAACTCTTAGCGAACACATAGGGAAGATGATTTATCATGTTCCTGTGTAGGCAAGAAGCTCAGCACATGAAGAAATGCCATATAGCCAGGCGCAGTGGTGCACACCTCTAACCCCAGCAGCTCGGGAGGCTGAGAGGCTGAGGCAGGAGGATCACGAGTTCAAAGCCAGCCTCAGCCACTTAGTGAGGCCCTAGGCAACTCAGGGAGACCCTGTCTCTAAATAAAATACAAAATAGGGTTGGGGATGTGGCTCAGTGGTCAAGTGCCCCAAGTTTAAATCCAATTACCCAAGTCATATTGAGATGCAATATGACTTGGGTAATTGGAAGAAGGATGGGTGGGGTGGAAAGAGAATAGTAGCCAGGGGTCCCCACTGTGGGCCTCGTGGGTCATGTTATTGACATGGGCCTTTATTTGAAGACAAAGGTTGGCAAGATTTTCTTAGGATAACCATCACGTAAAACAAAACTGTGTCACCTGTTGCAACAAATCTGAAGACATGCACACCTGTTAAGGTCTGTAAGCAAGTCTGGATGGCGCCTGGCAAAATGCCAGAGGGAGTGGTTTGTGAAGTAAGGCCAGCGAGCCATTAAGTGTGGAGATTCCTTATTGGTTGACTGCTGAATCTAGTTTATGTTAATTAAGATAAGCTGTGTGGAATGTATATATACCCCTCCTGTCCTACAATAAACGGCTCCCACTCCTGCTGTATCAATCTACACAAGTTGCTCGTCMCCCCCCCCCCCCCCGTTATTTTGCTAGAGCCGGACTGCGGCCTGCAGCACACACCTGCTTGCCCAGTGACCCACCCCAGTTCCCTTTTCTCAAATGTGGAATCTGGGTCTGAGTCTGTGTGCGGGGGAACAACAGGAATGGGAGAATAAATCATCGTTCTTTTTAAGGACCATCAGTTGAACAGCAGGATTTTTTCCCGTGCTGACTCACTGCATGGACTCGTAGAAATTGTTAATTGTGCTTATGTGCACATGACAAAACAAACAAACAGACACACACACACAAAAAAAAAAACTTAAAAATCTGCTTTGCTAGGAAACAATCAAAAATATGAAGAGAGAGAAAATCTTTGCCACCTGCACCTGGGATACAGCATTAATCTCGAGGATATATAAAGAACTCAGAACACTTAACACCAAAAAATCAAATAATCCAATCGATAAATGGGAAAAGGAACTCAACAGACACTTCACAGAAAAAAATAGTCGACAAATATATGAAAAAATGATCA